CAGGCGTGCTCAGTAAAAATGTTGGAAAATATTTGCAGTTACACAGCCGGACAGCGACAGCCCCCTCACCATGTGTGTGCTGCATCTGTAAGTCAGCTGTGTTACAGAGGGATACTGCGGAGGGTCCCACAATGACAAATACCATTGTTGGGGAGGTACATGGCTTTCCCTATGGTAACTAATAGAGACAATGAACATCACTCACCAACCAAAGCCTGCGATGTCAACTGTGACAGCGCACTAAAAATCTTTTTTTGATCCACTGTTGAATAAAAAATAAAAGGCAACATTGTGGAGGTGATTTGAAGAGCAGGCAAACTTTACCAATAAAGAGTCTGCTTGTGTAGGGAAAGATTTACTAACTGCATTAACTAATATTCCAAGACAGTCTAGCCAGCCATCCCCGGGGAGGAATCCCGTGAACAAGTTGGTCATCAACCTAACAACACTTGTGTATCTGAATCACTTGCAGCACGGTCAGTTCCATTATTGTACCAGGAATGCTGCCATTTCTTTAGAACAAGAAGTAGTCATTTGGAATAAGTTCATGTAATTGTCCAGCATGCTGACAGATTGTTGTGGCAGATGCTGAATCTCACTGCCTGCCTATTAACTGGCTTAGATACATGACTTTGGATTGGAAGTGTTTTAATAAGGCGTATGTTGATCCCCTATAGTCAAGGGTTCGAAAGGTCTGGTAAGCCTCCAATTTGTCATCACGGTGGTGCAGTGTTCACGTTGGTGGTTATACAAGTTGGAACAAAGAGTCAGGACTATTCATCACAAAATGGGACTGTTATATACCCTCATATGGACTGTCACCTATATGCTAATTATTTTGCACCTTAATTTTCGGTCCTGGTTTACCATTGAGGACTTTATTCACTGTTCACCTTTGTATATTTATGTATTGTTTGTGCATAATATTTATTACTTTGATTGCACTTTAGCACAACGCCAGATATTATCTAGATTTGCTATATAGAGAGGATATCCTCTTAGTGTGTTTGCTGCTTTGTTTACTATTTAATTTAGTTTTTGATTGTTTTCATTTAATTATATTAGTTAACAAATGCTGAGGTCACAGACATAGAAGGCTAATCTATAAGAACGACTCCAATGGGACATTAGAGCCCATTCACATCTTCAAGTGCGCGTTATGAGCCATATAACATTCAACTGCTGGTGTGCGTTGTGTACGGGCAGTGCAATGCATTGCTACAGTGCATCACACACTTCATCTTTTTTTGTTTGTTTTCCTTATTGCTAAATTACATTTCATACACTGCAGTGCAAAGTGATGTGGTATAGTGCGACTTTTTTCAGCACACACCAATGCAACCCTTTGGACAAAAGGACTCATTCACATCAGCCCCATTGGGCTGCACTGGGTAGCATTGCCCAGAGAATAGACAAGGCAGTTTGCCTTCTGTCCTATTGTTTAAGGCTAGGTTCACTTCTATGCAGTTGTTCATGTGCAGTTGATGCATTTTTGAGGCCTGTTTCTGGCACATTTTTTATTTCTTTTTTACTTCTACCTATTTTTAGGGTATGTTAATGTTCCTAGGGGGAGGTGTCTGTTGTCATGCAGGAAAACACACCTAAAATGCATGTACATGCGTTTTTTGTATGTGTCTCTAATGCAAGTCCATTGAAATCTATGGAGCCAAAAACGCACCATGCTGCGTGTAAGGTCTCTGCACATTTAAAAAAACACACAGAGGAAGCTGCATAGATGTGAACGTGACCCATAGGGACTAATGTTAAAGTGGTTGTAAACCTTTACATAAACCCAGTGAAGTGACTGGACTCAGGTGGTACACAGATTAAACAAATCCCCCTACATATGTTGTACCTGTTTATCTACAGTATTCTCTTCTCTACATCCATTCAAAGTGCTGAATTTATAACGTTTATCTGAGGATTCAGAAAAAAATGGGGTGGAGAGCTGAAATTACACTCTGCAGAGCTCCGTGAGGAGAGCTCTGAGAGCGGATTGGAGAGAAGAGACACACCCCCCTCCACACAGCACACAGGAACAGAGTTGAGACTGTCAATCTGCTGGAGGTCCCTCCTCTGTCACCATTTTTCTCTTGGTGTCAGGAAAACTTGTCAGAAGTGACTCAAGCGGATAACAGAGGAATGAAGCAGCAGACAGAAATGACACTTAGTATTCTTAATTGAGATAAGTACACGCTATAGAAAGATCTGCTTTGTTTGATATTTCATGTTTGAGATTTACAAACACTTTAAATGGACTGCAGTGCGTTTCTACAAATGCACTAAAAAAATGCATAGGTGAGAACCTAGCTGTAGATCAAGGTGCGCTGATTTAAAGGGACAGGTTGCGTTTTTACACAGGGCAGGCCATTGTGACACACTAATGAACAAAATTTCATTTTGTGACATTTAAATAGAGTTAATACAAAAACAGAAAACAAGTAAACTCCGCGATGTGTTGTAGCTATGCATTGCGTTGCCCATAGACAGCATACACCAATGGGCGCAGGTCATACATAGCATAACAGGCAAGGGAAAATTGGCTGGTCTATGCAATGGGCAACGCTGCCCAATGGACTGAGCCCTATAGTAATGGATGTAAGGGGAGCAAAGCTTACGTAGTGATCACACAATACTTTCCTTGATGGATTAAAGAATGCACACTAACATCTCCCACGTTGTATCGGTAATGATCCAACTGAAATGACACATGTATAGAAGGAAGCGATGCAGCAGAGATGAGAATCAGTTACACGGACTAGGTCATGCAGGCGTTAAATAGAGCGATGCAAGTGTTTCCGGACATTGGAAGAGCCACTCGGTGCACAGACACATTTTCCCAAATGTTGGAAGGAAAAGAAAGCCCCCATGTGCTCTATGCTGTGATACTCCCCGGGGTTACCCATGCTGCACAAATTAGGCGAAACCTAAAATTCCCATCACCCCTTACAGTTCTAAATCTTCATCCATCCCTCAGATATTACTTTCTCAGTCTCCTGAGATGATCCTATTCTTACAAATGTGTTACATTTCCAGTCTGATCACTTGTGTATCCACACACTGACAGTTAAGTACCAGACCGCGGACAGATCTGGAATGGGGGATTTAAAAGCCTCACCAATTCTGGAGCTCCTGGAAGTGCCTACTGTGCCCCTTGATGGATCCTCACTCACCAGACTCCTCCGGCTGCGATGATCCAAGGAGTGCCTGTTGTGGTTCTACTTCCAAGACAACAGGCAGTGGAGGAAATGCCCGGAGGACGCCATGCCGGCTTCTGTCAATGGCACAGAATGGAAGGAAACTTTGCCTCTCCTTAGTGAAAGTTGAGACACAACAAAAGGCCAGGGAATGGAATGAAGTGCTGCCTGGGAGGGGCTCTGCCTCTCTCTCCCCTCCTTAGGGAAGGGCACTGTGAAAGCTCCCAGACAGGCATGAGGTCCTGCACAGGGTCAGAAGAATCTGTCACACACTGGGATCAGCATGCCCAGGCACTGCTAAAACATTCCCACCCCTAAGGGCAGGAATAGGACGCCCTCCAATCAGGAATGAGGGGGGGAGAGGGATGGACTCACCCTTTAACTAACTCAACATGTGAAAGACAGGGAGCGTGTCACAAGCAGTGGAAGGGCTGTTATGTGATCACAGCACACACTGCCAGGAAAACTCTCCATTCCCAAAAATAATACAATCAGGTTGTACAAATTTTCTACAATCTCTTTAATGCTGGCCACATATACTATGATTTTTTTGTTCATCCAGTTGATGTGCAATTCAATCAAAATGATCATCGAATAGCCACAACTTCCCTTCTGATCAACTGAGACTCAATTTTAATCAGATTCCATAGAAAAGAGTTTATAGGCTGGTTTGCATCAATTGGCAGCGCTGAGATACTTTGCTCATAAATACAATTGTATTTTTATCAATCAGATTATGAGATTGCATGGTAGAAGCAGAGATGCGACTGATCATAAATTGCGATCATTCGGAAGAAAGAAATCATTCGGAAAAGAAACCGAACATTTATTGAAGCGTGTATGGCCATTTTAAGGCTGACCATACGTTATACAATCTTATTGTACAATCTCTGTTATGGCGACCATGAACAGAACAATTTATATGCACAAATCAATCGTTTTATTTACTGTCCGGGAGAAAAATATGATCTAAAGATCTAAAAGATCATTTGACCTAAAAATCATATTGATCAATCTACTTTCCTACAATCAGATTTTCTGTCCAGACCTATTAGAACATTTTCAAGGAAATTGATCAGTTTTGCTTAGAATTGATCGATGTAACAGTACAAGTGTTTTCAGTAATTCAAAAAATCGATTATACTCTCAGGTTCTGTGAAGAATCATTCAATCAGAGCATTATGTGTATGGCCACCATGAGATCTACCATAAACTATGCATTGCAAAGGTCTTTGCCTCGTTAGGTTCACCATACACATTACAAACTGATTGTACAATCTACTTTAGATCTACCAACAAGTATGTAGTACATAGGCTTGTTTGATTAGTCTAGATCAGTGATGGCGAACCTTTTTGAGCCCGAGTGCCCAAACTGCAACCCAAAACCAACTTATTTCTTTCAAAGTGCCAACACTGCAATGAAACCTGAATATCGAGCTTTTGGTTTAGAAAAAACAACTCGTACAGTAGTGCAAACTAATTAACAGTACAGGGATGACCAGAGACTGCGGACAGTACAGGGATGACCAGAGACTGCGGACACAGTACAGGGATGACCAGAGACTGCGGACACAGTACAGGGGATGACCAGAGACTGCGGACACAGTACAGGGAGATGACCAGAGACTGCGGACACAGTACAGGGGATGACCAGAGACTGCAGACACAGTACAGGGATGACCAGAGACTGCGGACACAGTACAGGGATGACCAGAGACTGCGGACAGTACAGGGATGACCAGAGACTGCTGACACAGTACAGGGATGACCAGAGACTGCGGACATGGTACAGGGATGACCAGAGACTGCGGACACAGTACAGGGATGACCAGAGACTGTGGACAGCACAGGGATGACCAGAGACTGCGGACAGTACAGGGGATGACCAGAGACTGCGGACACAGTACAGGGATGACCAGAGACTGCGGACAGGTACAGGGATGACCAGAGACTGCGACAGTACAGGGATGACCAGAGACTGCGGACACAGTACAGGGGATGACCAGAGACTGCGGACACAGTACAGGGATGACCAGAGACTGCGGACAGTACAGGGATGACCAGAGACTGCGGACAGTACAGGGATGAACCAGAGACTGCGACACAGTACAGGGATGACCAGAGACTGCGGACAGTACAGGAGATGACCAGAGACTGTGGAAAGCACAGGGATGACCAGAGACTGCGGACAGTACAGATGACTGCTGACCTTTGGGGAGGGAGGGGGAGCGGGTACCTGAATTTGACGGGTACCCGCTCTTACTTCCGCAGAGTTTTTTTTTTATCTTACCTGTTCCTTTATCCAGCCGCGCGCTGTCTTCCCGGCTTCTGTAGTGTGGGCGCTCGTCGGACAGCCGGATGCCCAGTGCGCATGTGCGAGAAGCGCTGCGCTTTGTGATTGGTCCGGCGGCTTCTGGGATCTGTCATGTGTCCCAGGTACCGCCTTACCATTCACAAAGAGCACTGCTTCTTGCGCATGCGCACTTGGGACCCGGCTGTCACGCACACTACAGAAGCCGGGAAGACAGCGCGCCGCTGGATAGAGGGACAGGTAAGGTCCCACTGCAGAGCTCAGCGGCCGGCCCGGTATTCTGACACGGCGGCGGTGGAAATACCGGACCGGCCGCTCTATATTCGCTCCATAAGACGCACTGACATTTTCCCCCCTTTTTTGGGGGAAAAAAAGTGCGTCTTATGGAGCGAAAAATGCGGTATTCTCCTGGCGTGCCCACAGATAAGGCTCGGCGTGCCGGCTGTGGCACGCGTGCCACGGGTTCGCCATCACTGGTCTAGATAGGTCCACATATTACATAGTTTTGGTAAATCTAAAGTTAATTGCACAGAGATTGTATGGTCAGATTGTAATGTGTATGGGGAACCTTGAGGGGGACATGCAAATAGAAATTTGTGATTGAACTAGGTACAAGGCATCACAAAAATATCACTCATCATGCATCAATTGAAATATTGAACGATGCGACACTCTTTGCATTTTTCTACATACAGTATTACAATCAACTGAAAATATTATTAAAAATGATCATTTCATTGATCTGTCTTCCAATTGGTTCTCCAGCACACACACAGATGTTTTGTGATCAGAAGTGATGAACCAAATTCTGTTTGGTTGATGCAGCACAGTCAGAATCGATCGGTGTGTAAACTATAGGTGTACGCAACCTCTAGCATTAGCGTGTACACCCCAAAGTTCAAACACACATGCGTATGTCTGTATGTATTTGTGTGTACTACACTGCTCAAAAACATTAAAGGAACACTTTGAAAACACATCAGATCTCAATGGGGAAACATATCATGCTGGATATCTATACTGATATGGACTGGGTAATGTGTTAGGAATGTAAGGATGTCCCATCGTTTGATGGAAATGAAAATTATCAACCTACAGAGGACTGAATTCAATGACACCCCGAAAATCAAAGTGAAAAAAAGATGCAGATGGCTAGTCTATTTTGCTGAAATTTCATTGCAGCAACTCAAAATGGTACTCAGTAGTTTGTATGGCCCCCATGTGGCCCTCCTCATGACACAATGGATGGTGTCCTGGGGTATTTTCCTCCCAGATCTGGACCAGGGCATCCCTGAGCTCCTGGACAGTCTGAGGTGTAACCTGGCGGCGTCGTTGGAAGGTCCAAAACTTGATATCCCAGAGGTGTTCTATTGGATTTAGGTCAGGCAAGCGTGGGAGCCATTCAAGGGTATCAATTCCTGCATCCTCCAGGCACTGCCTGCATACTCTCACCACATGAGGCCGGGCATTGTCGTGCACCAGGAGGAACCCAGGACTGACAACGGGTCCAAAGATTTTATCCCGATACGTAATGGAAGTCAGTGTGCCATTGTCTAGCCTGTTGAGGTCTGTGCATCCCTTTATAGATATGCCTCACCAGACTATCACTGATCCACCACCATAACAGTCATGCTAAATGATGTTACAGGCAGCATAATGTTCTGCACGGCTTCCCCAGACCCTTTTCACATCTGTCACATGTGCTCAGGGTGAACCTGCTCTCATCTGTGAAAATCACAGGGCGCCAGTGGTGGACCTGCCAATTCTGGTGTTCAATGGCTAATGCCAATCGAGCTCTATGGTGCCAGGCAGTGAGCACAAGACCCAGTAGAGGACGTCGAGCCCTCAGGCCACCCTTATGAAGTCTGTTTTCTGATTGGTCAGAGACATTCACACCAGTGGCCTGCTGGAGGTCATTTTGTAGGGTTCTGGCAATGCTTCCTGATACCGGTCCTGCTGATGGGTTAATGACCTTCTACAGTCATGCCCAGCTCTCCTAGAGTAACTGCCTGTCTCCTGGAATCTCCTCCATGTTCCTGAAACTGTGCTGGGAGACACAGCAAACCTTATGGCAATGGCACGTATTGATGTGCCATCCTGGAGGAGTTGGACTGCCTATGCAACCTCTGTAGGGTCCAGGTATCACCTCATGCTACCAGTAGTGACACTGACCCTAGCCAAATACAAAACTAGTGAAAAACAGTCAGAAAAGAAGAGTAGGAAAAAATGTCAGTGGCCTCCACCTGTAAAACTATTCCTGTTTTGTTGTTCGTCTCATTGTTGCCCATCTAGTGCACCTAATTTCATTAACACCAAAGCAGCTGAAACTGAATAACAACCCCCTCTGCTACTTAACTGACCAGATCAATACCCCAGGGGTTTAAATGACTTGTTACTATACTCTGCTAAAAAAAATTAAAGGAACACTTTTTAATCATTGTATATATGGACAGTGTCAGTCAGTAGGGCAGTGGAGGGCAGGGGCGGACTGACAACTCATAGGGCCCCTGGGCAATAGGGAATCATGGGGCCCCTGTGTCCTTGCCCAAACTCAAAAAAGCCTATGAAAAAGGCACCAGGGGCATCTCATGGGGTCCCCTACTGACCCTGGGCCCTCGGGCGGTGCCCGAGTTTCCAAATTGTCAGTCCGCCCCTGGCCTGGACACAGTACTGTGTGCAAACAGCAGCAGCTGTCAGTGGCGGCTGTCAGATTTGTACTCTGAACTAATCAACGGCTAGTGCTGCCACTGTTTGCATGCAACAGCTCATCTGATCCACTTATTCTGGATACAGAAAGGGTGCACCCCAAGGTCAGTGTTGCTGCAGAGTTCTGGCTGCACACAAACTGGCTGCAGCTACTCTGACAGAATTGTTGCATCCATCTGAACACCACATACTATGTGCCCTAGCCAATCATGTGAATGTAGATTTTGATTTAAATCTAATTCTGGGTATACACTAGTAGATTTGACAATTAAAATTTTAATTTCAAGAACATTACTTTGATTTTTGGTTAGTGGGTTTAAAATGATGTTTGTTTTACATTCGAAAAAGCAGGATGAAACATCAATAAATTTCTAACAGTGAATGTGATTTTGTGAAGTCCTTTCACTCCAAAAGTGAATGGTACAGTTATTCTGAAGGCTTCTGTATCCAGATCTCCCCCTTATACTTACCTGAGCCCCATCACGATCCAGCGCTGTGCATGGGAGCAGTGGACTTCTCTGCTCTGTCCCTCCTTACAGGGTAGATTCATTGCAGCAGGAGCCACTGGCTCCTGCTGCTGTCAATCAAACTCTGTGACAAGGGAGCGGGGGGAAGGGGCCATGCACCGCTGTCTGTGTCTACGGATGCAGGCAGTGGGGCTTGGGAATGAGCCTGCATGAGTGCCCCTTTCCTATGGGGGTACTGGATGAAGAGGAGGAGCTTGGCGCACCAGCAGGGGACCTGAGAAGAGGAGGATCTGGGCTGCTCTATGTAAAACCGCTACACAGAGCAGGTAAGTATGACATGTTTGTTAATTTTGTAAAGAAAAAAAAATACCTTTAGAATCACTTTAAAAGCAAGCTAATTTTGGAAGTATTTTTGAACGACATTTATCAAGCCATCGAATTTACTGAGAATTATTGTTCGAAAATCTACTAGTTTACACCCAGCTTAACAGATTCCTCCATCCTCTATACAGCACAGAAGGATTGTGTCTATCATATTGTGATTGCCGACACCTGTGGCTGTCAGAATACCTGAACAGCAGCTGCATCTGATTGGATGTAACCACTGTCCAGCCGACAAATGATGGATGTCAGGCGGGAGGGTAAAAACAGAGCCATCATCATCAGGATCAGACAACATTCAAACTGTGTATGGCTGGCTTAAACAGACATTGTTCACTTACATTGAATGATCATAAAGAATCGGTCATCTGCCAGACCTTTCTGACAGACAGCTATTTACTAAGTGAACAAAGTAACATTATTGTTGAGCCTGGATGTGTAAATGTTACAATGTCATGTTAAATTTCCTATAGACTCTAGACATATTCTTTCAAGGTCCAGGAAGAAAGTTGTGGCGTCTGACTCCTCGCAGTTTCCTTCCAGCTGATAAACCATCAGGATAAAATGTGGCATAGCTTCTGATTTTCACTTCTTAGCCCTCAGTGATGGTGTCATGGACATAAAAGATCAAATAGATTTTATACAGCCTCCTTTCCAATGCTGGGATCTTGTTTTGTATCTCCCAGATCTGCCTTAGGACAAATTTGTCGTTCAATGGATTTTCAGGATCCTGCGGTGATGGAATTGGGCATCGGAGAAGCACAGTAAAGGCTCCTTGGGGAATCTTCCGCAGAGCTTGAAGGTTAGTTAAAGTATTTGTAAAACCAATCTCTAAAATCTCATTTAGGCTTTAGCATGTTAGAATTTTGAAAGTAATTTTCAATATTTTAAAATCTGCAGCTTTCATTAAAATAATATCTGGTGATCCTGTAGTCAAGGTTCTCATTCAGTCACTTTCTGTTATAAGGCAAAATCATTCTATTCTTGTCTCCCAATTGTCCTCCACCGTTGTCACCCTGCAACATGCCTTCCCAGAGCAGACTACAAAGAGGTGAGCACTAGAGAGCTGGAGCTGCTCACACTAAAAGAAAGTGACAAACCCAAAATGTAAATGTATCAAAACAGTGCAGCATATAAACAATATAAAAAAATAATACACATGAATGTGTGACAGCCATAGTCAATAGATAAATACATAAAACATTATAAATTAATACATAGAAAGTGTATACTAAAACACCAAGTGTGATGATATAACAAAATCCTTCTATGGCTCGGTTCACACCTA